ATGCTGTGGACTTTGTGCACGACGGCGTGCAGGATGAGCAAGCTGTGGACGCTGAACGAGATGGCGTCGGAATGCTTGCCATCGCGCATGAGCACTCCCGCGGGTAATACTCGCGTACTTCGACTTCTCCAAAATTGACTAGCTGTCGCCGTGGCCTGCATCTGTCATCTGATACTTGTGAGGCGGCTGATCGAATGCTTCGGGTTCTGTCTTCGCCTTGTGCTCGACCAGCTGTACTTTCATCTGGCCTGTCTTGGGGTCGAGCGAGGATTGAGCTCCCTGAAGAAGTGGCGACTCCTGGGAGCGACCTCCTGCAACCTGGGTCGGCGCAAAAGAGGCTGGGTCCTCCCATGGCGTCTCTGGCTGTCCCCACATATGAGTCGGCCCTGGGAAAGTATTGTCCTCTTGACTGGCTGATGTATGACTCTCTTCTGGAACTGGGATGGCTGCTGCTGGCATCTGTTGCGGCACTGTCGGCACTGCTGGCGGTTCTGTTGGCGGCGGCACTGCCATGGCTGCAGCTCTCGTCGTCGGCATCTCGGGCTGGGCCGCCGCTGGTCTCTGCGTCATCCCCTGGTACTGGGGCCCAATGCCTCCTGGCTGGACAGCAGGAGCGCACCCGACGTTCTGGCACAGCCTGGCCAGCACCGCCCCTAGCTCTGCATCCGTGAAGCCCGTGCTCGACCCTGGCGGGAGAGCCTGGGCTGGCTGCTGCTGCGCGCCCCCGTGCTGCGGGGGCGCTCGGGGGAACCCCACTGCTGGAGTCCCTGGCGTAGGACATGGTCCCACGGGCGCTGGTATTCCCTGTGGGAGGTAGGCGCTCATGAATGCATTCATAGTTTGCATATGCTGCTGCATCTGAGCCTGAACTGCGTGCATCTGAGCATTTGCCTCTCGTAGGGCCTGGCTCTCCTGCATGTAGACGCTGGCTCCTGCTCCATGCTGCTGCTGCGGCGCTCTCGGAGGCGGCCCCGATGGGGGCGCTGATGGCGGCACTTTGGCTGCCTCCGGGGCTGGTCCGCCTCCCTCCTCCGCGTGCATGGGCGCCTGCTCGATCAAATCTCTCACCTCGTTCGCGATGTTGCCATCGATCTCCGTGAGGGCCTGGTTGAGATCGTCGGCTTCGTCTCGCAGCTCTTCGGCCTGTGTCTCCAGCAGGTTGATCCTCGCATATGTGTTGTGCAGCTTTTCCTTCGCTGAGGCAAGACGTTCCACAGCTTCCTGTCGTTGATCCTTGACCGTTTTGAGCCGATTGGCTGCGTACTTCAACATGGCTAACTCCTCTTTGACCTCGTCGTCTGGTTTTATGGCTCGGACTGCTGAGACTCCCATTTTTCCAAGCACCTGCATGCGGCTGTGGAGACGATCTCGATATGCACGATAATGCCGCGTGTCCTCTGGCTTCTTCCTATCTAGCCACTGAGGGTGGGATTCTGCATAAGCCTGTGTAGCTGGGACAATTATGTCGAGATACTTGCCCAGAGCTTTGTGCATCTCGTGGGCCTCTTTGTCCCGCTTGGGCTCTCGATCGCGGCCCTTGCCCCTGCGGTCGCGATCTCGTTCTCGATCGCTCGGCCTTGCCTCGGGCTGTACTGACACCCAGGGCTGACGTGGCCTGCTGTATTCTCGCTCTGCGGCACGAGCTTGGGACTGTTGGCGATGGCGGCTTGGCTGGCGACTTCGGCGAACTCGATCCGCAAACTGCGAGCCACACGATGAACATTCCCAGAGGCGCCCATCTCCGTGGGTATGACACTGCCCGCATGTCCACCCTGGTTTTCTTCCTGTCATCTCTGCTGCAGGAAGTCGTGGCTGCTGAGCACTGTGGTGGCTCGAAAGAAGATCTCGGGCCTGAATAGCGCTGAGCAAGAGCCTGGCTGTGTGGCGGGCGCGGCACTGTCGCCGATGCCAGCCTGGCTCGCGGCTGCCCGAGCGCCGCGTCGGGCGGCGGCGGCGGGCGCAGGCGCCCGCGGCTGCCGATGGCGCGCGGGCCCGCGGCGGGGGCCACGCGTGAGGCAGGCCGGATCAGGGTACCCCCCACACCCAAGGGGCGCCCTCCTCAGCCAATGCCTTCTGCTCCTCCTCCTCCTCCTCCTCCTCCCTCCTCCTCCCCCTCCTCCTCCTCCTCCTCCTCCTCCTCCTCCTCCTCCTCCTCTCCCTCCTCCTCCTCCTCCTCCTCTCCTCCTCCCTCCCTCCTCTCCTCCTCCTCCTCCTCCTCCCCTCCTCCTCCTCCTCCTCCTCCTCCCCCTCCTCCTTTTGGAGGAAGAACAAGAACACATAACCAAAAACTTTCGACGCTCCGCGCGGATGTCTTGGATCTGCGCTAGGACCCCCTCCCTGGCGCACGGAGCGCGCCAGGTGCGGCGCTGGAGGCGCCGCCAGGGGGCTCCAGCTCAAATCAAAGAAATCCGCGCGGAGCGTCGAACATTTACGTTTACATATTTTTCTCTTCTTCGAAAGATGAATCTGCAAGGGCCTTGGAAGGCCGCGCCGACACTTTACGAGCGGGGCGCGGCCAGCGAACGTGGCCAAGTATGGGCCGAATTGGACGGATGCAAGGGGAAACCGTATTTTTAACGTTTCCGAGAACTTGCCCCTTGAAAATGGAAACGGCAAAAAACGGAGATAAGAAACATCAATAACGACTCCCAACTTGGAACCAGAACCGGAACCGGTAACAAGAACGGCGACGGAAACCGTAAACAACGGCGTCGGAACTGAAACAAAAACGGCAAAACGGCCCTGTCGTTTCCAAGGCCCTCTGAGGGCTATATCTCTCGAGAGCTGAGGCCGTGTTTCACCCTCGCCAGGGAAAGAAAACGCTGCGTAAGCATCAAGTCTCGGCGGTTCGCACGGATTTCTTGGAGCTGCGCTGGACACCCCTTCCCCACGTGGCGCGCGGAGCGCGTCAGCGGCGGCGCCTGAGGCGGCGCCGCAAGGGGGACCCAGCGCAGATCCTAGAAATTCGCGCGAAGCTCCGAAGGTTTATGTTTATGCCATATGGTTCCTCGACTCGTGTCAGCTGTAGTGCAATTTGGACAACGGCCTCCAGGGGCGATGTGCAGAGAGAGCGATCCCGCCGCCTTGAGACCGCGACCTCTTTACCCCTCTGCCCAATCTCCGTCGTCTCCGCCGTCGCCTGCCGTTCATCCTGGTCGCAGCCGTGCTGTTATGCTCCTAAGTGTTGAACGAACGAGTAAAGTAGATGTTGTCCGTCGTTGCGCTGTGCAGGTCGGTTCTGAAATCCAAAATCCGACATCCTTCGCCAGTTCCCCTTCATAATCCTCCTCCTCTTCTTCCTCCTATTGATCGTCGCCCGAGCTCCTGGTCTCGTTCCTGCTGATCGTCCTCGTCATCCTCGACGTCCCTCCTCCCTCTCCTGCTGATCCTCTCGCCAGTGCGCACGGGGCCTTCCTCCTCCTCCTCCTCTTCCTCCTCCTCCTCCTCCTCCCACTCCTCTTCCTCCTCCTCCCACTCCTCTTCCTCCTCCTCCCTCTCCTCCTCCTTCTCCTCCGTCATTTCCTCGTCGTCATCATCCTCGTATTTTTCTCCATCCTCCTCCTTCTCCTCGCCCTCGCTCGCGTCCTCGCCCTCTTCCCAAAGATGACGACAGAGGAGGCCTAGAGATCCGACGCGACACGTTTTCGATGCAGGGCACCTGGGCCTCTCACGGGAAGGAGAAAAAAACTGCATACACATAGACTTTGACGGCCCAGGGCAGATCGAATAAATCCGCGCGGACCGTCGAGCGTTTATATTCCTGCAACGTTTACTCTTCTTCGACTCTCACCCACTCCCTGATGACAGCGTTTGCGTCGCCCTGCCAATGACGACGACGACCGAGCACCGAGGAGGAGACTTCGCGGGGGCGCCAGCGACGCGCAGATGGACGGCCCAGACCTCGCCACGGACCTCGACACCTGTGTCGAAGACCGTGGACGACTATCCCCACCAGACGACGTCGCGGAACGCCCACTATGAATAAGACGAAGCCAGACGAGAATGAATTCGGGTGAGGACAGATCGAGAATCTCTGAAACCTAGCGGCTCTGGAGGATGTCTCGGGCGCCGCGGCCTTCTCAGATCGTTCTGGAAAGCTCTGAGAGTCCCGGAACGCTCTGGAACGCTCTGGAACGGACTCATCCTCGTCCTGGCCCCGTCTGATGTTGGGATGTTTGGGCCCCGGCGGGATGTTGGGATGACCTGGTCGCAAGTTCAGGGATGTTTGGGCCCTGGCGGGCCCCCCCAGGGTCTCGGGGAACCCCGAGAAGCCTGGGCGGCCTCTCTGGCCGTGCCATCTACAAGATATGCCCCGCACTGAGGCCCAGAAAGAAGGTGACGTCGTCGCGCGGAGGCCGAAAATGGCTGCCGAAGACGTCGTCGATCCTCGATCGTCGTCGTCGCTTCGGTTGTCGTCGTCGTCATCCTGTCATTGTCATCCTGAGGGGCACGAAACGATCAGAGTAACCAAACCAAGGAAAGATCTCGGAGCGGAGTGGATCTAGGTCTGGTCACGGGGCCTTCTTTGAGAGCAAGGATTCCTGAGCGAACCTTGGGAAGTGTAACCCTCATAGATTCTCCTCTCCACCAGGCGCCCGACGACTTAACGTTCTCCAGGCGCCTGTCCCCCAGAACAATGGGCACCTTCCCCGTGGCTGGTTTATCACCCCAGGCCGCTGTTTGCAGCCCCGCGGGCCGAATCGGGTCGCCAAAGACATTGAACACTGCAACAAACTGGAATGTTATGTTTCCCAGTCGGCTGAAATCCCGGGGTACCGCCCCCCGATGTTTCGGGGGCGCACAACCATGGATTAGCGATCCATGGATTTGGCGCGCTGTCGCCAAATCCATGGATCGGGGGAGGTGCCCTCCCCAAAAAGCGGCCGGTGCCGCATCGCTCGGAGGCAAAAATCCCAGATTTCCCATGGAAACGGGACCCGTCGCTAATCCACGCTCCCTTGATCCATGTTGGCGATCGCCTGGATATTTAGCCCGGACTCCTCCCGGACGGCCGCCAGGACCTGCCGAACGGGCACGTCGCCCTCGTCGTCTCCGAACGGGTAGTCCATCTCCCGCGCGCAGAACTCGATGCCCAGGAGGGCATAGCTGATGGCGAACTGCGTGGGGATCAGGCTCGAGGCGGGAATGGTGCCTATCCAGGGCAGCCAAAACAGCAAAGGAACTCGGCCCTACGCAACCGTGGCTGGGGAGGAGGGGGTTCTCGCCACTGCGAATTTGGATTCTCGATGTGCCTATGATCGTCCAAGGGAAGAAGAAGCACCACATGTACACGAACGTCCGCGTGTGCACTATGTACGATGAAGGTTCCCTCATTCACAGGTCCAGGTACACGCAAAGCCACGGACTGCTAGAAATTGACAGATGTCAATGTTGTTCCTGTGCCTGTTCCTGTCCCTGCCCCCCCTCCTGCTCCTCCTCCTCCTCCTCCACCTCCTCTTCCTCCGCTCCCCCCGTCCAACATCAGCATCCCATGTCCTCGTCCGCCTTCCACTCCCCCCTGCCCATCCCCCTCCTCTTCCTCCTAATCTTCCTCCAGACCCCTCCCTTACTTCCTCCACGTCCTCCTCCTCCTCCTCATCATCATCACCACCATCATCATAGTCATGGTCATCGTCACGGCCATCATCAGCATCAACATCAACATCAACATCATCATCATCATCATCATCATCATCATCATCATCATCATGATCATGACCATGACCATCATCATCATCATCATCATCATCATCATCATCATCATCATCATCATCATAATCATCATCATCATCATCAGCATCAGCATCAGCATCATCATCCTCATCATCGTTATCATACTCAACATCAGCATCCTTCTTCTCCTCACTATCATAATCATCATCAGCATCCTCATCCTCACCAACATCCACATCCACATGTTCATCATCATCCTCATCAGCAACAATGTCTACATCACCAACATCATCACCATCATCAGCATCGTCATCGTGATCAACCATCATCGTCATCAGTATCGTCAGCGTCATCATCAGCATCCTCATCATCATCACCACCACCACCACCATCATCATCATCATCATCATCATCATCATTAGCAGCAGCATCATCATCAGCATCATCAGCATCGGCATGACCATCACCACCGACACCATCATCGTCATCATCAGCATCATCATCATCATCATCATCATCACCATCAACATTACAAGCACTGTCAACATCACCTATTCCATTATACTCAACAACACCATCATCATGCTTGCAACCAGTAACACCAACACCAACACCAACATCAGCATCATCATCAACAACACCATCAATAGCACTATCAACATCAACATCATCATCAACATCATCGTCATCATCATAATCGCAAGTATGATCAGCATCATCATCAGCACCATCACCATCATCATGATCATCATCATACTCATAACCACCATCAACATCATCGTCCGCCTCCACCTCCGCTTCCACCTCCACCTGCGCCTCCTCCTCCTCCTCCTCCTCCAACTCCCGTATGCGTCCCCCCTGCTCCTCTGGCTACGGCTCTTGTCTCATTGCTCCTAAAACTTATCCTCCTGTTCCTACGCATCCCCAAATGTTATCATCCCGATCCTGCTCATTACTGCCACCGCCCCTCCTCTGTCTCCCGCGTTCGTTCAAGGGCGGGGTCCCGCTCTCAAGGGTCAGCGGTTTTGCGTGTCCTCTACACCACGGCCTCTGCGACACGCAGATGCCGCACTGGCGGAAGGAGTCCAGGATGTTCTGGAGCAGCGCTCGGGAGGAGGCGGAGAGGCATGAAGAAAAGCAGGAGGAGCGGCGGCAAGACGAGGGGCAGGACGGAACAGGGAGGAGGATGGGGAGGGACAGCACGGCTGCTCACCGAAGCTCACCATCCCTGCCCCTGGCCGCCGCCCGCCGTCCACATCCTATCTTCTGGGAACGTGTCGTGGCTTTCGGAGTGCGCTTCTGACGACCTGGGGCCCGGGAGGCCCCCCCGAAGTCCGACAACTGGCGAAAACCCAGTCCAGCGCTGTTTTGTCACAGCGCGAGGAAGTCTGGCTTCCAAGCGCAAGCTCCAGGCCTCCGGCGGCCCTCCGGGACGAGCCGGGCACCCCCCGAAGACTCGCGGCGAGGCGCAGCTGCTGGGAGGCACTCGGCGCCCAGAAGACCTCGGGAAGCAAGCGACTGCCGCCCGAAAGCCTCCTCTCTCCCTCCCCCTCCCCTCGCTTCCTCCCGGAGGAGAGCGGGGGGGAGGCACTTGGCTCGGCTCGGCTCGGGTCGGGTGAGGACTGTCGGGCGAGGAGGAACGAGGAGCAGGAGGAGGAGGAGGCGGAGGAGGAGGAAGACGAGGGAGGACGTGAGGGGAGCCGAAGGACCGTGCAGATGGGACGCCATCTCGGGCGTGAAGGCCCCCATGGTCTGCCCCGCCTGCACGCAGTCCACGATCCGCTTCAGGCACCTCCCCCGGGGGGGCGGGGGGCCGGAGGGCGCCCCGCGACGGCAGGGAGCCGCCTCCCCTCGCCTCGGGGAGGGGGGCGCCACGCGACAGCACGGAGCCACGACGGCGACCCCCCGCGCCAGGAGGGAGGGAGGCAGTGCCTGGCGTGTCGCCTTCGCTTCGCGCGGCGACGGAGGGAGGGGGGCACCGGACGGGCGGCCACCGGCGGTCCCTGTCCGGAGCGCGCTGCCGGATGCGGCTCGCCCAGGCCCTGCCCCAGGGGAGGCAGGAGCAGGGAGAGCGGAGGGGGAGAGGGCAAGCAGCTGGTCGTGCCCACTGTGTTCACCCCACTGTGTTCGCAGCGTCGGGTTTCGGGAAAGACCTTGATCCTGAAGGTGGAAACTGATCAAGGAAGACTCTCTCTCTCTGTCTCCCTCTCTCCCTATCGTTATCGCTCTCTCTCTCTCTCTGTCTGACTGCCTGGCTCTGTCTGTGTGCCTGCCTGCCTGCCTGTACCTCTCTCTCTCTCTCTCTCTCCTTTTGTTATACGCCAACACACATTTTCTCTCTCTCTCTCTCTCTCTCTCTCTCCTTGGCTCTCCCTTCCCCATATAGGATAATACAAGTTACCCGAACAGTGTTTGCACTGAGGGGTTCATACATCTGGTATGAGGAACTGGGCCTGTGCGTCGGTCTGGCGGCTAACTATATGGCAGCCGCCGCCGCCGCCCCGTCGCCGCCTCGTCGCCAGCCATCGTCCAGGCCCGTGCGTCGGTCCCCGGAGGCCTCTCGGAGGTCTCTGGAAGCCTCCTGCTCCCGCTCTTGGGCCCATCTTGGGCCTGCTCTGGGGTAGTCTCGGGCGGTCCTGGGCGCCTCTTCGGCAATATTGGGGCCTTCTTGGCCCGTCTTGGGGACGTCCTGAGGGTCTTTTGGGTGGCCTTGGGGCGGTCTTGGGAGCCTCTTCGGCGCTCTGGACCATTGAAGCTCGAAATCGCGAGAAGCCAAAAACATTGGAAAAACAATGCGAATCTACGATGTTGGCCTCTTCGGGCCGTCCTGGGACACCTCTCGGACCTGTCTTGGGGTCTCTTGGAGGCCACCTGGGGGCCTCGAGAGCCGTCGGAAGGCTGACTTGGGTTGCGTGGGTCCCGGGGCGCTGTGGGGGCTCCCCGGAAAGGCAAGGGGAGCGGTACTCGAAGCGTCCCCGAGATGTCGCGAGGAGGTGTGGGACCCGGGGCCGCTGGGGGCAGGTATCTATTCTATATATATATATATATATATATATATGTGTGCGTATACACATAATTATACACATACACATACATTTATAGATGCTCATGTTCCTCGGTTTCCCTCCCAATTACTCGAAGTCCCACATGTTCCTCTTAGCTTCACTTCAACCTCCTCCCACTTTTCCGTGCCCCCATGACCAAGCGCCTCCCGCATTATGTCCGTCCTTGCGTTGTTGTGCTGTCGGTCAAAAGGTCGTCGTGGGGGGAGCTCGATTGCACGCTGCCAAAATATATCGAATTTCCCAAGCTCTAGAATGAACATACCCACAGGCGAACCAACTCGGACAAGAAAAACTCAACGCTAGAGCTCCCAAACCGTGAAAATCCAAGAACTCCCAAACTGACTGGAGATTCCCAGCCTTTCAGATTCATGCCGGACTTGCCCTGGCAATCGAGCTCGACTCAGACCAAACATGGCGACAAAACGGCCGCCACGATCTCGCCGATGCACTGGATGTCTGGGAAAACAATATGAAAACAAATCTCCGACTTCGATCAAGCATGAGTTCACAGGCGTTCGGATGACCGGCCTCGCCCCGACGACTTCCATCGACCAACCACACCATACAAGCAAGGTGTCAAATGGGACCCCCGAAAAAAGCGGAAAAGGACGACATGCTAGGGCGAGGGATGAGACAAGGGACGGGCGCCTGGGACAGGGCGGTGATACGCTTGTTACGTCGCAGCGCGGCAAAGGCAGTCCGCACCCCGCGCTCGGGCGGTCCGGGCAACGGCAGGCGCAAATTCTCGGGAGGGGAAGACGGGCGAAAGCGGCCGCGAAGGAAAACGGAGGGAGGGAAGGGCACTCACGTGGCGAGGTGCGTCGCCGTGGAGCGGCTGGGGCGGCCAGCCAGCGCGGCACCCTTGGCAGCGGGCGCGGGGCGGCGTCACGGCCACACCCAGAAAGAAAGTGATACACGCGCATGGGCCTGTTTTTTCTTCGAATGTGCTCCAGAGGGTCTGGCACGTGACCAGCAGCATTGGGGCAGCAACGCGCAGCGCACGGCCGCAGCCGTTTTGCTCTTGATGCTCCGGGAGAAGGGCCTGGGGCCACGAAGGCTCGAATACTAGAGAAAGAATTCGTCGTCGCGTCTCCTGGCTTGGCTCGTCCCACACTCGGTGAGAAGAGGCAACGTGGTGTGACAGGAACTTTTTACGTCGCAGCGCGGCAGAAGCAGTCCGCACGCGCGCCCAGGCGGTCCAGGCAACGGAAGGCGCAACTTCTAACCGGGGGCAGGACGAAGGGAAGGCAGGCGAAAGCGGCCGCGAGGGAGGAGGGAGGGGAGGGATCTCACCGCCGTGGAACTGCCGGGGCGGCCACACAATGCTGCGGTGTGAAAAAACACGGAATGGCAGAGTCTCCCCGAAGCACCAGCACACGTCGGCATGCCTGCTCGAGCTGCTGGCGACATCGCCACACAAGGTCCTGGGGCACTCGTCGCGGTCGACGCTGGACAGGTGCTGCGACCAATGTGCCCACGAAGCGGGCGCGTTGGACTCGTGGGGCGCCTGCCCGCACATCAACTGCTCCTCGACGAAATAACACAGCGCGTCGAGCAGCCCCAGCAAACGGGTCTCGTTGTCCTCCGCCTCCCGCGGAACGATCCCCCAATGCCGCTACGGGGAGCAGTGAGGTGCGAGCCGCTCAAAAAGCGGGCCCCGGACCTGTCCTTCCAGAGCGCTTCATAGATAGACCTGAACCTATGTACCTCTATAGATCTATATGTGTATATACATATGTGTATATATGTAGACCTACCTGGACCATCACTGGAACTTCGACAGGAACTTAGAAGTCGAGGTCCTGGTGCTTCTTTCTTGTCCAACCCTCCTGGAAGGTCGGGGACCCCCTCCCGGAATCCACCAGTCGGGCCAGGCGAAAGGGGGGGGATAACAAAGGGGGGGGGTTGGAGAATCGGCTCACGCAGCTGATTTTGCGGCGCCTTCCGGCGCCAGAGGCAGCCGTGTATCGAGGCGTGGGCCCCTCGGTGGGACTGAATCCAGCTGCACGCAGCAGGCTGGATTCAGTAAACCCCCCCTTTCCCTATCCCCCCCTTTCGTCTGGATGCTGCAGCATGCTGCATCCAGGCAGCATGCTGCATGCTGCATGCAGCAGCTTTCGTACCCCCCCCTGTCCCTTTCCCCCCCCCTTCGTCTGGCCCGCACCCGGCCCAGGCTCCGCAAGCTGGATCGACCTCCGGCGGCCAAAGGTGGCCACAGCGCGGCCACGCGGCTGCCGGGCGCAGCGCGGAAGGCCCTTGGATCGTGGGCGCCCGCTCCTCGGCGTGCCCCGAGCCACCCACCGAGACACCCCCAGGACAACCCGACGCCAAGGCCGCGCTGACGGCGATGTTGGTTGACGGCGACGCTGGGAATCCGATTTTTGCGAGGCCGAGCTCGCGCAGAACAGATGGTTGGAAAGCACGAGCCACGCTCTCCTACGTTTCAAATGCGCGAATGTATCGAGCGAAAACGACGCACTGAATTGTAGGAAAGCACGAACCACGATGTCCTACAAATGGGTTGGCCACTCGGCACTCCCAATTACAATGCCGAAACCTACGTCGCCGTTACCCACATCGCTGTTAGCGCGTCTACGGCGAAGGCCCCCATTCGCCGTCCATTTTCAGGGGGAGGGGGAAGCGTCGGAACACATGGCAACAAAAACGCATTTGGAACCCGTACCCTCCCCCAAACCCGAAACTCGGGTCTTCCAGTTGGGTTGGGGAGGTCTGGTAGGCAGTCAACGTTCGTCGCTCGCGGAGAGCCAGGTAGACCACATGGCCTCCCGGACGTCGAGGGCCTCGGCCTCAGCACCACGCGCAGGGGCCTCCGAACTTGGTGAGCCCAAACATTTATCGCTCATGGTGCACGCGCGTTGGAAAGACTAGAGACCTCCAAAATGGGGTCGGGGTAGCCCGGGTCGGATGATGGCGCCGCATCACCGATGCATCGCCGATGCGTCGACGATGCGTCGACGATGCATCGGCGATGCACCAGCGAGGTCGACGATGCATCGGCGACGTCGGCGTGGAGAGCATATGGCTCCATAGCGATAAGTATCTCTAAGACATCGACGATGCGGCGCGACCCTCTGACCTCATGTGGGGAGACCAAAAGGTACAGAAGCCGCTGTTCCTGGGACCTCTCTGGGGTGCGCTCTGACCAGAATTTCGAGGCGAACGCAGCGGTGGCGACGAGGACATCCCAGGAGGCTCAAAAGAAAACGGGCGAAGGGTAGCGGCATTGGCACTTCTTCCGCCTCTGAACAGCTACTCGGGCCCTGGACAGTTCCCCCGAACGGCTTAGGCGACCCGCCCCCCTCCTCGATTCGATTCGATTCGATATGAGGCGGAAGATGCCGATGCCTAGCGACAGGTGAAAAGACAGAGAGAACAGGATATTGGAAGGCGGCGGCGGCAGCGCGAAGCGGCTGACGCCTGCGCTCGAAGCGCGGACCTGAGGACCAAGGGGCCCGCGCATTAGGGTGGCGGGTTACTGCAGTCAACGTGCGCGACACAGCACGGAAAGGGAAGGAAAAAAGAGGGGGAAAGGAAGTAGTCCTTCACCCCGTAACACAGGTTTCTGACAAAGTCGAGCTGAGCGTCACGCGCGTAGCACCTTCCAGCTACTATCTTTTCAGCTGGGCGCGCAGCAGCGGAGCCCGCGGGCACGGCACACATTCACAGGAAGGCCCGTCACCTGGCTGCGGTGCCACCCTATGCGGCTTGAGGTGTGCGGGGACAGAGGGCGAAACAAGAAAA